ATGAAGTTCATCAATGGTGGTGGAACCAAGCCTGAACTGAATAACATCAATGAACGATTCATACTCAGAGGGCAAACCATGCAAAATCACATAGATCAACTCAGAGTCTTCGATCGGAGCTCTGACATTAGCAATTTCTTCAATTTGTTGAAGATACATTGCAGCCGTAGAATCACCCTTCATGATGGTACGAAGATGAAAACGAAGCTCGTGAATGTGCGATTGCGATGCGGTTGCCAGTCGTGATTCCAGTTTTGACCATAGCTCACGAGCCGAATAGACACCAACAGTGTACGGAATGAGAGCATCCTCGAGCGTAGAGTTAATTTATATCAAGATGTTCTGATCATTCTCAAACCATTCAACATACTGTGGATTCAAAGTGGCAGTGCAATTTCCAGATGAGTTACGAAGAAATTTCGATGGAGCATGCATCGTGCTGTCAATTATACTTGTGAGATTGTACTAGCGAAAGATTGGAGCGAACAAAGTACTCCAGGTAAGATAGTTCGTCATCGTGAGCTTAATCGGAACTAGAGATCCAATATTCTGGATCGTGATCGACAAAATTCCCGAGGATTGTGAAGAATTAGGGCAAGAATTCATCTTAGCGGGATGAATAGGAGAGGCAGATTAAGAAAAAGGAGAGCCAAAGGTCGCCATGGCTGAAAAGCTAGGGTTTTGAGCTTCGAAGAGAGAAGAAGAAGAGCAAGAAGCAGGAAACGGAGAGAAGAGGATCGAAGGTCGTTAGACGCAGGCAAGAGATACCATGATAGAAATGTTTAGAAATGTTATGCTTTCATTTCATAAACCAATAAGATTACAACTTTGGTATATATACTAATGGTATACCCACTTATGCTACTAACTAAGTACATCATTAACTAACTAATCATTAGCTAATTATAACGGCTGTTTTAACAACCTTATAACAAACTCATCTATTTACAATTTTATCCTTATTAACGCTCACCCCCTAGTAAGGGTGGTGAGCAAATTCAGACTCATTTCTTCATATCAACCTGGACTAAAAATTCGTTTCTACTACCGTGCTAGAGGAACATGCATGGTGCATGTAATAAGCTACCACCCCTTGCATTTGCTGAACTTGAACCCCATGAAGATATAGCCTTTTTATTATACCATAACTTGATTTAAACAGGGGGCATTTCTGGGTGCTTTGTATGCCCTGGAATCTCTTGTATTTCCATAGGGCATTGGAAAAAGGACTATTGTGTTCAGTGGGCACAGAAGCACTTAAGCCTCGACAGTCTACTTTCCTGGGAAGTGGTTTTGGGATCACTTGCCTGCGATGGTTCTTATTGCTTCTCTTCCTTTGCTTATGTTAGGCACCTTTCTTTTCAGTATAATCCAGAACTAATTGTTTAAGAGATTCTGTGTGTCAATTGTGCGTTATAATTATATTGTACCTATGTGAAAATCAGTACCATACATGCACACAATTGTATATGTTAATATGTATATTACGTGTACCATAGGATTGCTAGGAAGTTTTTTGGATTTTGTCCTTCCTCATCTTAGCATCATCATTATTTTACAATATTGAAACCTGATAAGCTGATACATACTTATCAAACGAGAAAGGAAAAAAGAAAGGAAACTGAGGAGCGGTCTTCAAGTTGTTGATTAGGTTAACTATTAGCAAATCCTTTCGCACCTAAGCATGTTTCCATGCGTTTGTACTCTATAGGAGGATTATATATCACATTTCGCAATGTGTATACTCTTTAGTTGTGACTGATCATTTTACACAATTTTATTACATAAATGATTTTCACGTTTCTTTTGAATTTCTACACTGTCTTTTAATTTTTCTTTTATTTATTCAATTCAATAGCTTAAAAAAAATGTAATGCAAAAAGGAGTGATTTCTTGATTACCTAACCTCATATATGAGACAAATTTTGGCTGAGAAAAAACTAATTAATCTACATGTGCATGCAGCACTTGAAGCATGAATCAGCTACTATGGCCAAGAAGATAGAGATCCTAGAAGCTTCTCAACGGTTTATGGCTTAATTTTTATCATCTTCTCCTGCACTTTTTTACTCAACTGACGTTTCAGGTTTTCCTAAACTCTGAAATTTGTATGTCTTAGGAAGTATTCGGGAAATGGTTTGGATTTTTGCTCTGTTGAAGAACTCCAAGAGATCAGTAGCCAGCTGGGACGAAGCTTATGCAGCATAACAGAGAGGAAGGTATTTCAGCTGATGATGATCACAATTCCATTTTCCTCCAACTCTTATCAGTTAAATGGATTTTTATTTTCCTTTTGAAATTTAACTAACTTGAAGTGATTCCAGGCTCAATTATACATGGAGCAGCTGGAACAACTTAAGGGAAAGGTATTTACTTAATGTACTGCTACAAAACTATTAAGGTGATGTTATTAGCACTTCAAAGCTGTTATCCCACATGTATTGTATAAATTTTTTTGGAAAATTGGCTAAAATGAAAAGAAAAAAAAAAAAAATCACATTCCAATTGTTGAAATTGATGAAAATTAAATATTGACGACATACTGAAAAACTGATCATTTCAACAATTGTTAAACTGTAAAATTTAAATATTGACGACACTAGAAAACTGATCATTTCAACAATTAGATTTGAAAATGATCAACTAGGCCAATTTTCCAATTTTCTGTTATGTATTAAAAATTCAGAGTGCCTAATAACTTGTTTTGGAGAGTCAATAACAACTCTCTAACCATTAATAGTATTTGTAGAGCTCTATACATACATTGTTCAACTGCTTCACTAGTTCTATGTTCATACAATCTTTCTCTCCTCTAAAATCAGGAGAGGTTCCTGTTACAAGAGAATGCGCAGTTATGTGAAGAGGTAAACGTTTTTAAATCCTTTTGAACTGTTTCCATTTAATTACTAACAACTACCTACTGTGCATGACGTTTGAGGTGCTTTTGTTTCCTGATTTCCATTATGATTTTTCTTTCTTTCTGGTATTTCTTGCTTATTTATCTGCACAATAATGATATGATCAGTGTGGTGCAAAGCCGTTGGTGGAGTTTTCAGCTCAAAGAGAAAGAGCTTTTGCTCCTGCACGCTGTGAAAAAGCAGGAGCTTGCTTCTGCTTATGTAAGCTACAGGGGCCAAAGTAGCATGAGTTCTGGGGTGGAGACCGAATTGTTCATTGGATCGCCAATAATGCGCGCTGATCGCGTCGCAGTCTAATGTCAACATACATCAGATAAATAATAATGCTTGTCAATAATCTCTAAAGACAATGCCATAACAATTAAAAGGCTTTTTAGGAAAAATGACTATGAGATTGGCATAATTTCCAACTTTGTTTACTGATAATGAAAATTGATAGAAGTGATCCTGAGTTTGTCTTTTGTAAATCATTTGGGTCATACCGTGAAAAATCGGTCAATTACCTCATTAAATTGTCACAGTGAACGACCATGTGACCACCTTTTAAAGAGTATTTTTGACCAATCAACCCCTCAAGTGAACGAGTGATAAATTTTTCACGAATTAGTAAAAAAATATTTATGAGAGTTGTAAATATAAAAAAGTATATTCAAGATTTGCTATGTGGCGAGTTTTGAATAGATTGTAGTGTTACTTAGCAAAATCTAATGGCAAGTAAAGCTTTACATAAGTGTTTTTTGTATGCGAAAGATAAAAATAGATGTATGAATAAATACTTCACTTGGATGTTGTTTTCTTAGAACCTGCATCTCTCATACGGTCTCTTATTTTCGAATTCAAATCTTCTACACCTATTTTCTCCTTTGTGGCCCATTTAAATGGGCCGAGCCATTCGACAAATTTCATTTCTTTATTTAGGCAAGTGGTGGACGTACGTGATTGACCTTGGTTGACAGCTGCAGATCCAAAACATATTTCCAGGCTTCCGGCCGATGTGTCTTTGTGGATCTAACTACTTTTATTTTATTTCCACACTAATTATTAAGAAAATATAAAGAAAATTTGGCTCATCACAGCTTCCACTGGACGACAGACGATGCTGTCATTGTACGATGATCTTTGTCAAATTGTCATTGCGCCCTTCAAGATGTCAGAAGTTTATGCGAAGATTACAATTGTTGATTCCCAACGCACTATCAGAAAGCACCATTGATTATAAATATATATTCTCCATCTTTTTCCTTCTTTGTTTTTAATTTTTGGCAAATAAGAAAACCAGCGAAGTTAATAATCATTATGAGCGTGTGCATAAAATATTTTTTGAATCACGATATGATACGTATAATTTACACGTTTTAAACGTATTTATATGTATAAATTAAAAAAATGAAAGTCAAATATTTGAAGTAAATGAATAATCTTAGATAGAAACTCTTCGTAAACCAATTAAAACAGCTGAATCCACATAATATAATCGGTTTCTATAAAATTTACATTAAGAATAGAAAAAATAATATTCAATAAACAACTGATCGAATCACATTATTGCTAGCCTATTGTGAGGTTAAGCTCACCCCCTCTCCATTAGTGTAGATAATATAGTTTGTTCAACAAAAAAATAATAATTTGATAACTAATTTAATCACATTATTGCTAGCCTATTGTGAGCTATTAATTAAAAAAATGTACAAAAAAATTAATTATTAAAAAAACACTATTAAAATCATGAAAATACTTCTGCCATATTTGATGCATTATTTTGGGTTGCTTTTGAAGTTTTTTGTTTGATGGGCATTTTTGTCCAATTCTTTTTTGTGAAGCTTGTAACACCAAAAAACACTATTCATTGGGCTTGTTAGCTTTATATCTTCACTGCGTTTGAAGACATTTTTAATATCACTAGCACACGAGATGATACATCACGTATTATTATACAAATATTGTGATATATGTGTTAAAAAGTTAATAACTTAAAAAGTAAAATTTTCCATCATTTGCACAGAAATATGTGATGTACCACTCGTGTTCCAGTGATAATAAAAAATTTCTCTTGCGTTTCCCTTCTCTTTTAATATTATCTCTAGGGTTTCTGATCTATTTCCATATTTGTGTTCTTTCCAATCCAATACCACTGTGTCCTTGCTGCTCTTGTTTGGGGTGTTTTCCTGTCTCTTTTCATTAATATTACTTATGGTCTCTATATTCCATTTTTGGAAACTTAATCTAACATGTTTTTGGGGGTTTTCTTCTATATATCCTTTTGGGTTTCATCTATAATTTGCTTCATTTAGAACTTCTTTGGGGGTTTTAAAGTAAACCCTCTCCAGCTGGGTTTTCTTCGCTGTCAGCGTTCTTCACAAAATCTGTAATCTTTCTGGTGTTGGAGCACTAATTCAAATCTTTCCCGGGTGCAGGTTGTAAATCTTTTTCTTAATAATTCTACTAAAGAAATCCTTTGGCTAGCTTTTTGAGCTATATATATGGCATATTTTTACCAATTTCTATTAGATTGCTATTAATTATGGTGGTGGATGATGATTTAGGCAAAGCGAGGACATGGTGAGAGGGAAGATTGAGATTAAAAGAATTGAGAATGACACCAGCCGGCAAGTGACCTTCTCGAAACGTCGAAACGGCTTGTTGAAGAAAGCTTATGAGCTTTCGGTTCTTTGCGATGCTGAAGTTGCAGTCATCACCTTCTCTCAGAAAGGCAGGATCTATGAGTTCTCCAGCTCTGAGTACGTTTCTTTTATTAAATTCCTTATATTTAGATTCTTGAAGCCCCATCTTCTTTTTGTTTTATATGCTTAATAATTTTATAAAAATAAAAAAATAAATGAAACAAACATCATAAAACGTCTACATGTAGTTGTACCAGCTTGAGGCTAGGGTGTCCGATGATACAAAAAAAAATTCTACAGATTTTTCGAGCTTTCTATCAATTCTGGTCATAATCAAGACTTGAGAATCTATATATGTTTAATGGATGTACCATATGCATCTTTTTAATCAAGTCTGATATCTTTTTAATCAATATATTTGATCAAAGTACATCCCAAAAAGATTTGGCCTCTTTTTTCCTTTATTGATCTAGATGAAGTTCAGTGCATATCCTATGCTACTCCCACTGACCAATTTTGTTGATCTCACCAGCTCTAATTGTCTTCCTTCCAGTTAGCATATAGTTAATGTGAATGGGACATCAGCAGCCGGTTTGAGTTTGAAACTGGAGGAACCAAACTTATTAAACTTACCCGAAAAAAATTGGAGTATTTCCACATAAAATTTGAAAATTCATCCACATATAATGAATTTGCATTTATACCTTGCTAGTTTGTTGATGATTGGATGGATGACCAACACAATTTCATTGGAGAGAGTAGTAGTCTTCACCTTTTACAGTTCTGCAGGAGATTTCATTGGAGATAGTGTAGGTCTAAATAACATTTGTTTTATCTGATTGCTAATTATGGTGATTAGATTTCAAGAAGCTTTTTTTGTCGTTTCTACCAGTTTATGTAGAACTTTTTCCAGTGAATTGAATGAGATTTCTTGGGGGCTTTTCAACTTAACATTTCCCCTTAAGTACATGTGTAAATGATGTTGCTCTTTGTTTTAATGCATCTATATGCTTAAGTTCTGGTAAATTTATCACTAACTATATACCTACGTAATTATTTTGTCCACTTGATCAAGTCAAAATTGCTAGCATGGCCATAGTAATATATGTAGAGGTTATGATCGGGGGACAAGCGTCTTTGACACATAATTTGACACATGTTTCTTAAAGTTCACTTCGTTATGTATTTCAACGATCCGAACATCTATATTTTAGTACATCATTTATATATCATCCTTGTAAATAGATGAACACAAAACTATTAAGATATTCATTTGTAGTGAAGAAAATAGACGAATACGATTCTTCAAAAAAACACTAAATTTGATCCAATGGTCATATGATTTTGGATTTGGGTTAGACGAATATGCTTGTACAAAGAAACAGTAAATTTAATCCAACTGTCATATGACTTTCAGATTTTGGTATTTTTGGTAGACATGATTTTTGAGATAAGACAAAAGATAGATAGTTGGATCGTTGAAATACATTACTAAGTGAGCCCCACAAGGGCCAAACAAACTGGGTGTCAAAATGTGTGTCAAAAACATGTGTCCCCGGATCCTAACCCTATATATATATATATATTTTGTCACACGTTTTTGTAGGGTCTATTTCGTAATGTATTTCAACAGTCCAATTGTCTATCTTTTAGATCTTACCTTAAAGATCATCTATACCAAAAATCACCCAATATGAAACCATATGACCAATGGATTGAATGATAGTCATTTTAGTGTTTATTTGTAAAACGTATTTGTCCATTTTCTTCACTACAAAGTTACAAATGAATGGTTTAATAGTTTTAAATTTATCTACTTTGTGCAAGGATGATCTATGGGTAATGAATTGAAATATAGGTTGTTGAAAAAGTTACAAAATGGGACTTACAAAGTGTGTATAAAAAAATGGGTGTTCCCTGATCCTAACCCATGGGGCAGATATGTGACCATATTTTATACACATGTTTTGTCATGAGTTTTAAACCATTGAATTACCCTACTTTTAATTGTTGAGATTTTACTTGACATGAAAATTAATTTGATTTTTCCTTACTTACATGTGTATATTTAATACAATTACCATCTCGTGTGTTTGATAGTTTGTATTGAATATATATATATATATATATATATTCATATATTTTTTTGTCAAATGATAGATTTTGTTAGATTAGATGTTAGATTAGCTATTGACGGGGTTTGAACCCACGCCACCATGACATAACTCAACACTTTTCTACCACTGTGCTAAAGGATCACTTGCATATTCACATGAATTATATAGAATCGTTAGGTGGTGATTGTATTGAATAAGTATAAATATTGTAATCAATCCCTTAAAATTAATATACGTTCGAAAAATATTTTCTAATCATTACCTCTCGTCAGTAATTAATTGTGTTTTGATTCTTTTTTACTCCTCCCGCTTTCCTTCAGTTTTTTTTTTCTTTCTCCTCTTTGCCATTTACATTCTGTTCTCTATTTATTTTTGTTTTAAACGAAGTACGATTTTTCGTTTATTGTATAAAAGAAGTTACATAGACATATTCATGGAGATTTTAGTCCCCAAAAGGTTTCTTAAACTTTTGCTCCAATTTGATGTTTCATAGGTATTTGAGTTCATAGATATGGGAAGAGCACTAGTCAATAATGACCTAGAATAAGTATTTCCAAATGGTTATACTGGACTATAGGCTACAAGGAATTTTATATATGTTTATCCGCTGATGAAAGGGCTTTGTTCATTTTTCTTGTAACTCATGAATTTGAATGAAATGTACAAGAGATTTTATGATGTTATGCATCCAACTTATGGAATATAAAAAATCATGTAAGGTTGAATAAAACTATGAGAAAAGGAGATGAAAAATTCGATCTTCTTATCCTTAAATTCAAATCCGGTACCTTTGATATCTTATTCCATCTCAGAAATACTTTACAGTCCAACAAAGTTACAAAAGTAATTAGAATGCTAGAGACCTCGAGAGGACGAAGAGACCAAAAAAATGACAAGAGGAAGATAGAACGAGTAGGTCATAAAAATGAGGAAAGTGGAAAAGGAGAGATGAAACATATTTTTAATGGAGATAGTTAATGATAAAGAGAGAATCATAGTTGAAATGTTCAAAATTTTATTTTCAAATTGTTTAAAGATTAATAATCAAATTAGTTTTCATGTCAAATTACATCTCAACCATAAAGAGTGAACTAATCTAATGGTCTCAAAATTTGTATTCAAATATTGTGTTAAAATAGAGTAATGCTAGGGAGACTACATTTGGAGACTAAATTTGCAAGCTAAATGATTTGTCATCAATAGGAATAAACACGTATATCAACGATTAAGTAATCAACCAATCATAAACTTCCATGTCCTTTAGTTTTCAAAACTTTGTCTCCAAATTTAGTCTCCCTAACATTACCCTTAAAAATATAGTGCCACAAATCAGGATAGATGTGTGTGTGTGTGTGTGTGTATTAACTTTTAAGATTGTTGCGTTCCTTTGTTTTAAACGGTCAATTTTCACAAAGGAAGTACTTATGAATCAGATTATGTTTTCTGCTATTCCTTGACACTTAACGAAAGGAAAACCTGAACCATTGCGTAACATCAAGTATGTATGTATATACATATCTTGTTGTTAAGAGATATTGTAATGAATGCAGCTCTATCTAATTTTATCATTATCTGTTTTTGACCTCTCTATTTCTGGATGCTTCAGCATGCACCAGACTATAGAACGATACCTCAAACATGAAAATGGAGGGGAAACCAACATGGTTGAAGCAGAACAATACGTGCAGGTTAGAAGTTCTATCTTGGAATTTGAAAATCCATCTTTAATTTCAGATAAAATTTGCAGTATCTTGATGTGGTAAATTTTGTCATCTTCCATAATCTTCAATAACAAAGAAGATATATAATATTGATTCATATAAAGTCTGGAAATTATTATATTAGGGCAAAAAAGAAACTTTTACCCTATGTTTGGACGAAGAACTAATAGTTTTAAAGATTAATGACATTTACCCCAAATTTGTTCAGAATGCATTACAAAAATTAGATAGAATAGACTTGAAAGTGAGTAGATGCAATACATTTGAGAGAAGTTTCAAATAACTCCTTAAAACTTGTCATTTGAAATTTTTTTATGTAGTCCCTTGTAATGTATTTGTAGTAATTTATGGTGCTTGTGTAGTTCATTAATAGTATTTTTCTAGTGCATTTTAAACAATTAAATCTAAAGTTCGATGGAGAAATCTCGTGATACAAACATAGGGTTAGTTTTTTCTGTATCGGTTGAGTTGAGTGACATGAAAAAGATACCAAGTATCTACGATTTATTTCAGGCTAGAAGCTTAGAGCTACAGACATAAAGATTTGAGTCCTAGTCGGCCTTTCAGATTCACAAAAAAGTAATTTGACGTATCCCTTAATATATGTAGAAACGGTTGTGAGTGACGTCAAAGCATGGAAATAATATCGACAAAAAAAAAAGCATGGAAATAATAAGATTAATTTATCATCTAGGCACGAATTAATAAAAAAAGAGAATTTAAAATAAATAAATAAAGAGAATTAATATAGCATTTTACTCAATGAACCAAGCATATATGAACAAGGTGCTGTGTCGGAGTAGGATCCTTGTCTCTCAAAGTTCTCCTCCCCTTCAGTCCCTTCTTATTTGAATGGTCACAATTAAACCACGTCAATATCTTATGTTGACTTTTTTTTATAGAGACAAAGACAAAAGAGGAAAATGACAGAGGAGTGGAAAGGGGAGAGAATTTGGAGGAAAGAGAATCCTATCTATTAATTTTCATCCTAAGATGTCAAAATCTGTTAAAATCAGGCATATATTGAACAAACTGAGAGTAATTTAGTTTCTGAATTCCTGTGGCTTGGTCGGACTTCGGCGCCTGACACCAGGGAAGTAAAGGGTTGAGAAATTGAATAAAATTCATGCCTTTCTTGAGCTGTAGTTTGTATTTATCTTTCATTAGATAAACGAAATTAAACCCTAAATCCACCACTCTCTGCCTTCCTCTCTTGTTATTCATATAATTAACCCTTGGTATGGATTGGAAATAAAGTCAAGATGAAGGTTTTTCAACGCCAGTATGAGAATGAACTCGAGACAAGGTCAGACATATGCAGCTTAATCAATGGAAGTCCTGCGCCCTGCGTCCTGCATGCCTCCTACTCTTGCACGACAACACCTTTCCTTCTTTTATTTTTTTTTCCTCTCAATTTCTTTACTTCAGTTTTATTCCTCACTTAATTTAAATTAAAAACTTCAGGACCTGTGTATGTTGTGTAATCTAAAAGTTCAAAAAGAGTGTAAAAATATTTGTCAAAATGTTAGTCTCTTCATTTTAACCATTGGTCTATAGTAGGCAAAATTGGAAAGTTATCGTTACGCTTAATTTCTTCAGAGTCCGAATTTGCTTCCCACATTTATTAGGTGGTGGCGTTACTACTCTTCTTAGAATGTCGCACATGTTGGGGGCTTAACCATGATTAACTAATTTAATATTTATATATATAACAAAGCATCTTAATTAATAATCACCTTACATCTTTTCTAATTTGTTCCATCAAACTTTGAGTTTATTTTCTATTATCAGTTTGGAGATTCTCTCCATAAAATTGAAGATATATTAGAGAGAATTGTTACGAATGCCATAAGAATATGCAAGTCATATTGGTAAACCCTAGTATATCACACATGTCATGTCACTAGATAATACCTACAATTTCACGTTGGTATGTTAATGAGTGAAGAAAGTTGAAATTACACCCTAAAATCAATTGACAATATAGAGGGTAGTTCAATTACTTAAGAGTATCTCCATCTATTGGTGGAGGGCAAGGGCAATTGGAGGGCAGGGGCAATGAAATTGCCCTTACTATTCACTTGAAACAGTAATTGTCTTGTGTAAGTCCATGAAACAATAATTGTCTTGTGTAAGTCCACCAGTTTAGAAGAAGGATAGGTGAAGGAAAAGGCGCTCACTATTCACAAATATATTTTTGTATTCTTTTTAATGTTTTCTTTGCCTTATCCCTACATGTTATTATCGCCATAGATTTTTGTTAAGATTCTCTATCATTCAATTACTAAATGCATCACATGAACTCATAAGCTCATGCAAGGTCCATCCTCCCATCAATGTAGAACTCATTCTCAACAGGACATGCACATCTCGTACCATGCATTTTACTTATGTAGTGGTGTTCGAATGTTCTATTATACAAATTAAACCCGTAACACAGTCATCCCAATATCCCCTTTTGTTAGTCCTCTTGCCTAAACTCTTCATCACCAACCTTGAATTATTCTAAAAGAAATTATGCACTATAGGCTCGTCTGAGACTTGGTACGTACTAAGAGTTTGGCTCAACCATAGAAAATGTCTTTTCCAACTACCCTCATTTCCAATTCCATTCTCAACGCCATAACTTCTGCCACATGACACATTATCAATGATTCACAAATACTTTTATTTCAGATATCACAGTATATTCCCAACCAAAAGTAATTCATAGACAACTACAAACAGTCATGCAACGAAACAATGATGTACACATTTGCAAGTAACACTCCACAAGAATTATAAACCAATGAGATCAACAATAATAATAGTATTTCACGAAATTTAATATAATCAATCTCTGTAAAGGTCTGCTGTACCTCCCCCTTCCTGGATTCCAAAGAATTGCTCCAACTCTCGATTACAAGAGTCCACCACCTTGATCAAGTCCTATTTCACAAATGTTAGACAATTACTAAATGCATGACATGAACTTTAATCCCAATTAAAGGAGCTGGGATTACTAATTTAACAACACCCAATTCAAATATAAATATGCATGCTGTCTTCTGTATAAGCTGGGTGATGAAAAATAGCCTTGGCCAATAGTCAGATAAAAGCCTGTTTTATGAAATTAAACATATTAAACCACACATATACATGCATTATGTATTCGTTTCCAACTTCAGACATGGTTTATTCGATATACTATATATATGGACATGTGCAGATAGTTTGAAAAATGTAAAAACCAGCTAGGTTTAGTTGAAGTACATGCATACATACATACATACATACATATACATACATACATACATACATACATATATATATATATATATAGGGTTTAGGGTACCAACTCAACATAACAACTTTATTTGATATAGGATTTAAAAAGAAGGGACCAACAACTTATCAAAACATGTTTTCCAGTAGCTAATCAATCCATATAAAACATCCCTTTTCAGCTTTAAATCAAAACACACTTTAACAAAATATCTTTCCGCATATATTTTGGTATCAGTTTATGCAACTAATTTTGAATTAATAACAGTGGCTAATACATGCCAAGATTACAAAATAAACTGAAATTAATAAGAACAATTGATACAAAATACCTATGAAATGACTAAAGCAAGCAAGATGGGAATCGTTATCCATGCTGCAGGGTGGATAGGTAAATCAACTTATAGGAGACCAATTCACTCCACCTGAGTCAAGGTCTCATCTGATCAGTTTCTGGGTTGTTTCCATTCTAACCTCATAGTTGAGATACTGATTTCACCTCTTCCTATTCAGTGCTAGGATAAGAAACCGAAACTAAGAACACGCCCTATTACTCGAAGGCATAGAGGAAGCTTAACAGAAAAGGGAACAGAGGAGTTCTGCTCTCTCTTTCTCTCTCTCTCTCTCTCTCTCTCTCTCTCTCTGAGTTTTGCATGAAGGCTGCATCCCTATTTATACAAGAGGAAAGGTAGTAGGTGAATGTATAATGGATGGACCATAACAAACTGCTACGTGGAAAACCAAAGGGCTTTGTGTCTAGTAGTGTGACACCTATTTCACCTCGTGGCAAACCCATTCTAGCTTCCAACTTGATTAGGACGAACTCAAGCTAACAGATAGCTTACTCACTTGAATGCTGTAGGTGTCAACTGCTTTAGAAGGGAAAACTCTTTCATCACCACATACTGCCACCTCCTGCTAATTTGGAGTGCTCTCCAAGTAGTCCTACGATACCCCTTTATCATTTGACATTCTTCGCATCTCTTTCTTTCTTTTGCTCAACACGTGGAGACCAACATTGAAACATAAATAATTATTTTTGGAAAAAAAATGTAGTTATAAAAATAGATAAATAATATTATTAAGAGATTCTCTGGAGGCACAGATGCACCAAGCTCAAGACTCTACTTTCCTGTAAGTGTTTTTTAGATCACTTGCCTGGGATGGTTCTTAACTTTTTATCGCTTCTCTTCCTACTTGCTTCTGTTAGACACCTTTCTTTCCAATACTAATCCAGAAGTAATTGTGTAAGAGATTCTCTGTGTCAATAGTTGAGAATGAATCGTACATTAATGAGAGCAAGAATCTTGCATGTGCTTATAAGTAGTTGAGAGACTCTCCATATTGCCAATGCCACATGTGCTCCGTGTCACCCGAGTTGTGTTGTCAGTGTATTAGGCTTAAAAATTCTCACACGTGAGGGGGCGTGTTGAGAATGAATTCCACATTGATAAGAGGAGGGACCTTGCATGTGCTTATAAGTAGTTGGGATACTACTCGTATTGCCAATTGGTTTTATGTTGAAACCCCAACTTTCTCCATCAACTGTGCGTTATAATCTGCCTATGTGCCAATCAGTACTATACATACACACAATTGTATTTGTTAATATGTATATTAAGATTGCTGGGAAGTTTTTTGGATTTTGACCTTCCTCATCTTATTTAAGCATCATCATTACTTTACAATATTGACACCTGATAGGCTGATACATGCTTATCTAACGAGAAAGGAAAAAAGAAAAGAAACTGGGGAGGAGGCTTCAAGTTGTTGATTAGGTTACTATTAGCAAATCCTTTCACACCTAAGCATGTTTCCATGCGTTTGTACTCTATAGAAGAATTATATATCACATTTCACATTGTGTATACTCTTTAGTTGCGACTGATGAGGATCATTTTAGACAATTTTGTTACATGAAGTGATTTTCGCATTGCTTTTGTCTTTCTGCACTCTCTTTTGAATTTTCTTTTATTTATTCAATAGCATAAAAAAACGTAATGCAAAAGGTCAAAAGGCGAGTGATTTCTTGATAACACTAACTCATATATGAGACAAATTCAGGCTGAGAAAAACTAACTAATCTGCATGCATGCAGCACTTGAAGCATGAATCAGCTACTATGGCCAAGAAGATAGAGATCCTAGAAGCTTCTCAACGGTCTATGGCTTAGTTTTGATCATCTTCTCCAGCACTTTTGTACTCAACTGATGTTTCGGTTTTTCCTAAACTCTGAAATTTGTATGTCGTAGGAAGCTTTTGGGAAATGGTTTGGATTCTTGCTCTGTTGAAGAACTCCAAGAGACCAGTAGCCAGCTGGAACGGAGCTTATGCAACATAAGAGAGAGGAAGGTATTTCAGCTAATGATTAAACTTCCATTTTCCTCCCACTCTTATCAGTTAAATGGATTTTTATTTTCCTTTTGAAATTTTACTAACTTGAAGTGATTCCAGGCTCAGTTATATATGGAGCAGGGGGAACAACTTAAGGCAAAGGTACTCATTTAATTTAGTGCGACAAAACTATTACGGTGTTGTTATTAATTAGCACTTAAAAAATGTTATGCTGCATTTATTATATAAAAATTCTCGAAAGAAATTGGCTAAAATGATTAATAAAAAAGCAAATCCCAATTGTTGAACTAATGAAAATTAATGTCGATGACACACTAAAAATTTATCATTTCAACAATTGTTAAACTGATAAAATTTGGGTAGTGTTACTAGCACTCTAAAAATCTCATTCTACACTCTTCAGAAGTGTATTTTTCTTTCCTAATATAAAAAGTTTGGAGTGTAAAATGAGATTTTTGGAGTGTTAATAACAATTCTCTAAAATTTAAATATTGAAGACATGCTGAAAAACGGATTTTTCCAACAATTGAGATGTGAAAATTGATTTTTTTGGCCAATTTTCCAATCTTCTGTTATGAATTAAAAATTTAGAGTGCACTTTTTTTAGTGTCTCAATATAACAACTCTCTAACCATTAAAATAATTTGTAGAGCTCTATACATACATTGTTCAACTGCTTCACTAGTTCTGAGTTCTAACCATCTTTCTTTCCTCTAAAATCAGGAGAGGTTCCTGTTACAAGAGAATGCACAGTTGTGGGAAGAGGTAAATGTTTTTAAATCCTTTTGAACTGATTCCATTTAATTACTAACAACTCCGTACTGTGCATGACGTTTGAGGCGACTTGGTATCCTGATTTCCATTATGATTTCTTTTTTCTAGTCTTTCTTTCTTTCCTTGTTTATTTATCTGTACAATGATGATATGATCAGTATCGTGCAAAGCCGTGGATGGAGTCTTCAGGTCAAGAAGAAAGCGCTTCTGCTTCTGCAAGCTATGAAAAAGCAGGAGCTTCTGCTTTTGTAAGCAATTGGAGCCAAAGAAGCATGAGTTCTAAGGTGGAGACCGAATTGCTCATTGGACCGCCAAGAATGAACTGTTGTTCGCATCCCAGTCTGAAGTCAGTATCAGATAAATAATAATGCATGTCAATCATCTCTAAAGACAATGCCATAAAAATAATATAAACAAGAAAATAATGCAGTGGAGACCTATCTTTGGTAGGCCATGCTCTCAGATCAATAATAATAGTACGGTGAAAATTTAGAGATCATTTTATGTATATGCTGAAAGCTTCATGTTGTAGCACCATATTATTTGCTTACAATGTATGAGCATGGCTGAGGAGGGTGAATGTGGTTGATGTGGGACAACTAGCGGAAAATATAGAGGAGCAGCTCCACAGGGGTAAGTAAAAAAAAAAGGGTATTGAGAAATCTAAATTTAGGGGTCCTGGTTTTCTTGAGCCCATAATACTCCATTTAGAAGAGAACAAGAAGTAATCAAACTTCGTATTGCCATAGCAATATTTGAAATGACTTATTACGTGCTTAAAACGAATACATAGCTTTTCTGATCAAATAATGACATTTTTCTTCCTCAAATCTGTAATTTAAGATTTTAGGAAATTTTTATAATTTCCTTGTTCTATTTTTTTTTATTTTTTTAATACGGTTCGATATGAGTATTTAAGCATCTTATGGACCTTGGACCATCTTATTTATCAAAATAGACATTGAGATATTTTCATGTTCTTCTTTCAAAGCTTTACATATATAATGATATTTTCTTCAAGGATTCATTGTTTTTCTTTTTCTTTTTCTTTTCTTTTTTTTTTTTTTTTTGGTTCAAAGGGATTCATTGATTAAAAAACGGATTTCAACTCAGAATCTAGGAGAAGGACGTCATGAGGAGGGTCTCCTTCCAAACACATGACGATTAATAGCTAAAGCAAATCGATGGGCAGCACCATTGCAAAGACGGAGAATTTCACCTCTTGCAATTGTGAATCCAGTAATTTACACCTGCAATCAAACAACCAAGAGGAGAGTATTCAATCTCCATTCTATAGACAGCTGTTACTATAAGAGAAGCATAGTTCCCTACTTCAATCTTGGAATGATTTAGAGACATCCCAAGTTTCAACCCCACACATCGCCAAAATCTCAATGTGAGCAGCCGAGGAGACGCTCACAAAGCACCAAGCTCACCTCTGCAACAAATGTACCTCTCCAATCTCTCACCACGGCACAAGCACCACCGACTCCCTCGTGCAATCTTGTCGCCACATCCACATTTATCTTAAACCACCCATCACTTGGACTGAAGAAGATGAACGGGACGCTTCGGCGTACCATTCAATCTCGGAAACGGTTGATGCCAACTTTAAGGTCATCTCAAACCGATCCAGCCAGAGGACCATAGGGCTAAAAATAGCCCGAAATGACACGAAAACCGTCTCCAATTGAGGGCTAGTTGTGGGCCCCACTGGGCCAAAAATACCAAATCAAGCCAACTGCTTACTCATTCCCAGGCTAGCCCAAAATTCAAATGCCAACGGCTATACTAGCGTCTTGGATTTGAATTTTTTTTTTTTCCCAGACAAAATTTAAAAAAAATAAATAATAATAAATTCTAATTTTACTATTTAAGTTGTAGTTTTTAAATTTAAGTTGTTGTAGTCTTCAAATTGAAATAATAAATTATGTTTGGCCTATGGCCCACTACTACGAAACCTTTTATTAGTGTCGCTATGATAACCGACAAGAAACGTATATTACTGTTAGATATTAAGCAAAATTCGATAGAAAATGGATGCAATGACGGATATAATAAGCAACAGAATTACCAGCGTCAGAAAATGAATTTTCCTACAGAAAATACTCTAAGGCTGACAGAAAGTGTGTCGGATATAACCGACAGAGAATATATTAATAATGAATAAATAAGAGTATTCTCTGTCGAATAAAACTGATAGCAAATACTCTAAAACCGACAGAATTTGTGTAAGATATAACCGACAGATAATTTATTAATAATGAATAAATAAGAACATTTTTTGTCGGATAAAGCCCACAGAAAATATATTAATAATAAAAAAATATATAAACCGCTAGGAAACAAAACCTCTTGTACAATGGACAAAAATCAACCTTAAAACCGGCAAAACCAAGAGATAAGATTACTTCCTCATCTTGCAGGTTTTTCTCTCTAGATGGTTCGGTCCCAGATTCCTATATACAGAGACTTGTCATCGGGACCCATTGATACACCAGATATCTCCCTAAAGAAATCAATCTCGTCTACCTTTGTGCTATATATATGCACAAAATTTGTAGGTTCCGTGACTACCATGAACTGGCCATCTGATGAAAATCGAATTGACCTAGCAGCACCCAAGTTATTCTTCAAAACGGCAACTGGCAATGAAAGATTTCTTATGTCCCAGACTTGGGAAGTCTTGTCCTGGTTTCCGATGGCAAATATGCGACCATCAGGATGCCATGCTGACACAAAAGAGTAATCCAGATGACCAACGACCTTAGCAATAGTCTGGAATGACCAAAAAAAAAAAACAGAGTTGTATATAGATAGTAAACGATTCCATCCAATTGGAGAGATGAGCAGTTGCCAATTTCATCAGGAATTTAAAACACAAGCTGAACGTAATACAAATAATTTAAAACGTACTGGATTCGAAATGTTGTTTCTTGAATTGTTCATCCATGGTGATTGAAGCGAGAAGGAGAAGGAAATGAGGAAAGGAGAAAATGGGGAAGGAATAGGGAAGGGAGAAGGCACCAACGCAAGGAAGAGATGGAGGGATTTTATTTTGGAAAATTTTCATTACTGTCGATTATAACTGACATAAAAAAATGACGACAAAAATCCCCCCAAAATTTTAAATCCCCCCCCCCCTTCAAAATTTTGTTACAATTTTAAAAAATAAAATAATAATTGTTTGGTTTAATAAATAAATAAATAAAATGTATTTAAATAGAATACGTTTTTAAAAATTAAATAAATAATTGTTTGGTTTAATAGATAATAACCCATGTAAAATATGCAATAAAGAAACAAAAAGATAATTGTACAATGAAAACGTCATCACACAAACTAAATATTGTCTAATCAATATTTGAAAAACATAATGAAAATTTAGCACAAATTACTTTTCTCACTTCAAAATTTAGCCAAATTTAACGGAGATGTGCATTCTACGAAACTAGTTTCCATGATCTAACCGTCAAACTTGTTTGTAGATACTACAAGATCGCATACGTAAAAAATCGCAAAAAAAAAAAACATTTAGAGATTAGGTAAAGGAACAAAAGTTTTCAACGGTTATAAACGAAAAATCACAATTTAACGTTATTTTAACTCCGATTTTGATGATTTTTTTACAGCTACACTCCTCGACCCTATAAGAATGCAATGAATGATGTTTGTACCATACTTGACCAATCCCGAAACTACTAAGCACCGGTCAACAGCATACCGTCAAGGACCTACAAGACTTTTCCTCCAACCAGGAGGCCAATCACAACACGACACATGTCGGTATCAGAAGCCAATCACAGCGCGACACGTGTTGATATCAGAGGCCAATCACAACACGACACGTGTCAATGTCAGAACAAAGCTAGAAACTCTCTTCTATAAAAGGAGATCATTCTCCCCACAATAATCCCTAATGTCATTTGTACTAAACTATTCACTAGAACTCACTAAAAGAGAGCTTGAACCTATGTATTTGTGTAAACCCTTCACAACTAATGAGAACTCCTCTACTCCGTGGACGTAGCCAATCTGGGTGAACCACATACATCTTGTGTTATTTGCTTCCCTATCTCTATTCATTTACATATTTATCCACACTAATGACCAGAGCAACCTAGCGAAGGTCACAAACCTCACACATTCTGTTGTACCAAAGTCCTCGCCGATTTTGTGCATCAACAAATGAATTCAATCTTCAATTTAAAATATTTACATTAGTGGATACCATAAAATCTTATTTTATACTTAATGGAAGTATAATATTAACTCTAAGTGTTTGTTTAATCTACCATTTTGATGCGATATGCATTCTATGAAACTTTTTTCAATGATCCAACCATCAAACTTATTTGTACACACTTCAAGATTGCATACGTAAAAAATCGTAAAAAACAAACATTAAGAGATTATGTAACGGAACAAAAGTTTTTTACGGTTATAAACGAAAAATCACATTTAACGATTATTTTAGCTCCAATTTTAATGATTTTTTACAGTTACACTCCTCGACCCTATAAGAATGTAATGAATAAATTTGATCTTCAATTTAAAATATTTACACTAGTGGATACCACAAAATCTTATTTTATACTTAATGGAAGTATAACATTAACCATTTTGACGCGATACACATTCTATGAAACTTTTTTCAATGATCTAACCGTGAAACTTGTTTGTACACATTCCGGGATCGCATACATAAAAAATCACAAAAAAACAAACACTCAGAGATTAGATAACAGAACAAAGTTTTCGACGGTTATAAAGGAAAAATCACAATTTAAAGGTTATTTTAGCTCCGATTTTGATGATTTTTTACAGCTACATTCCTCGACCCTATAAGAATGCATTGAACGAATTCGATCTTCAATTTTAAATATTTACACTAATGGATACCACAAAATCTTATTTTTTACTTGATGGGGAAGTACAACATTAACTCTAAGTGTTTGTTTAATCTACTGTTTTAATGCGATACTGTTTGGGCCCAAAATATTATGATTGGGCCGAGCAGCAAGATGTGCTCGGCCCAAGGTAATGACATGCTATGGGCCAAATGATGAAACCCGGACCAGCTGGCAGGGTCGGCCAGATCCTATCTTAAGTAGTCCAGATAAATGAGGAGAGGTCGAGGAAATCCTGGTGCGACCAGGATTCTCGACCGGCAAGGGATAAAGCCTCAAAAGGAGGAGAATTCAGAATCCCAGTAGGACTAGGATTGTTCGAGTTAAAGGTAAAACGGGACAAGGACTTCCAATCCAAATCAGAATGGGATTCAAGGAGCGAGGTGCTATAAATACAAGAAATTACGCAATAGAAAGGCCTTCAACATCAGCATAAAATTGACCTGCGCAAATTTTCTCAAACACCTTGAGATTTTTTTCCTTTTCTTTTCCTGCCGACACACCTTCAGTTTGGATAAACAGCACTGCTGCCGCAGAATCAGCCGACCGAGAAACACCTTCAGTTTGGATAAACAGCACTGCGTCGAGGTCAACTGATTATCTATCTAAGTCTCGGCCGAGAAGGGTTTTCGAACCTTTGTTGGTAGAGGTCATCTGACTAAGCCTTTTCGGCATAGTTGGGTGTTACGAATTGCATTGCTCGGCGTATTGGACGCCAAGTGAGTTTATGATTGGATACTCGCAAGTGAGTTTCAGGGTTCGGCATTCCGACGGCCGAACTACGTTTACCATCAAGACATACATCACATTCGAGTACCTGTGCCCATATAGTTTGGTCTCGATTCGGCGTGCTTATACTCTTACGAATATAATCACAGTGACCGAATCAGGGTCCGACGACTTGTGAACTCCGTAGAATTAGTAGCCTTGTCTTCAGGCTATAAAACCCAGAGGCCGAGAGCGTTCCTTTCTCGGTCGCAATCGCAAGATACAGAAGTCAATAGCGCACCCAACGCGACAACATCACATTTTACTCCTCGGCCGAGCTCGGCCGACGAGTTGGCACGCCCCGCATTCAACCGAAGGACGTAGTTAGCTCATTAGTTACTCGGCCTGCGCGCCACGTAGGTTTTGTAATTTTTGTAGTCAACAGATACACATTCTACGAAACGTTTTTCAATGATCCAACCGTCAAATTTGTTTGTACACACTCCAAGATCGCATACGTAAAAGATTGCAAAAAACAAACATTCAGATATTAGGCAACGAAACAAAAGTTTTCGATGGTTATAAATGAAAAATCACAATTTAACGGTTATTTTAGCTCTGATTTTGATATTTTTTACAGCTACACTCCTTGACCCTATAAGAATGCAATGAATGAATTTGATCTTCAATTTAAAATATTTACACTAGTGGATAAATCTTATTTTATACTTAATGTAAGTATAACATTAACTCTTAAGTGTTTGTTAAATCTATCAATTTGATAGGATATGCATTCTACGAAACTAGTTTCAACGATCCAACAGTCAAATATGTTTGTATATACTCCGAGATAGCATGTGTAAAAAACCGCAAAAAAAAAAAAAAAAAAAAAAAAAAAAACCATTCAGAGATTAGGTAACGGGACCATGAGTGAAAAAAAAAACATTCAAAGATTATTTTGGCGGCCGTCCAAAATTTTGCTTTGTTCATGTCGGTTATATCCAACAGGGCCATGAGTGAAATTTTTTTTTAAACCATGTGTTTATTTATTTATTTATAATCAATATAACATTTTAAAATAATAAAATAGTCAATTTCTGTCGGTTATAACCGCCAGAATACTAAAATAATAACGCCCAGAAACTAAAATAATAAAACAATAAATTTCTATCGGTTATAACTGCCACCATTAACTTAAAAACCGCTGGAATATGTTAAAAATATTTATAAAAAAAAAAAGAATTCAAAAATACTGGCATATATAACTGACAAGATTTCATTGTTATCCGACACTAACTGAATGATGTGTTGGATATCTTTTATTAGGCATAATGGCTTATTAAGCTGCCACCATCATCCGACACCTAAAGCTAATGTAGTAGTGGCCCCTTGGCCCCCTTGCCCCCTTGGTTAGAGATGGATTTTTGCCACAGGGTTATTTTTGGTCTATGGTACTTTGGCCCTCTCGGTTGGAGATGATATGAAATATGGCCCGACATTGTTTATTAAAATATAATTTCTTGGAGGGCTATAGGGTTAAAAAGAGCCCTCTGGCCCTCTTTCTGTTGAAGATGGCCTAAACATGCACCACCACGGCCCTCCCAAAGCAGTTCTTACCGCTGCTGCCAAACATAGATAACAATTATTCGTTTTGAGCCCAAACTTGTACCGAAGGCCCTTATAGATCCAATCCATAATAGATGCAAATATTTTTGGGGCCTTTAGAAAGAACTTCTTTTAGGGCTTTAACCTCTTTCCTGTCTCTATTTTGAAAATATTTTTCTCTTGTGAAGACATGGTTGACCGGTAGATGACACTTTATCAGTGGCAAAAAATAATTATGCCTATGACCCTGGTGTGTATTCCATCCCACTGATCTTCCTCCAAACTAACAATTTAACCAACTTGATAGAAAGTGATAAACTGAATCTTTCAATGAATGAATCAGAATGATACATCCAGAGAGTATTTATACATACATCAAATAAGTGCTGACTCATTATCTACTTCTATCACAACTAACGTTATCGTTTGTAAAATAAAATGACATGGTTAACCTAATTTATTTCCGATCACTTTGCTATCCCATACACAAATACCGTACAATAAGGAAAGAAATTCAAAATCTAGTTGTTGGTCGAAGAATACATATTTTTACGTAGATATAATTTTGTGGAGGAAAAATTAGGGGCTTTTCTCTATTTCTCTTCTCTCTAATAATGGATACCTGCAACATGATTTTAGCATGCACAAAAAATAAAAATGTAAAAAGGTTATGGGACCTCTCTTTATATCGTCTCGATCATAACATTATTCTCCTTGTTTTCCTATGTTCAATCATAGCCTTCTTTCTTTTTCTCTGTCTAACTCTAAGCCCACCATGACCGATCATACGCTCCTCTCTTTCTCCTTCCTAGCTATTTGTCAAATTTTATTTATAAAATCACAGAAAGTAGAAAAAATACGCGGAAGTTTGTATTTACTTCCGATATTACAATTTAAAGGTATTATTTTTCACTTGTAAATTCAATTTATTGTCATTAAAAGAAAGTTAGAAATCAAAATATATACCAATAAGATTGGTAATCATAATCTAGGAGGCACTGGATTTGGTTATTTTCTTTTTTGCTGGGTTAAACATGACAGCTACTCAGTTGTTTTATTATAATTCGAGTTCCCGGGAACAGGACCACTTTGAATTTGAAATGGCTCTCTCTCTCTCTCTCTCTCTCTCTCTCTCTCTCTCTGTGACAGATTCAATTTAGAATTTAGAGCAAATGTAAGTTGTCAGGAATATGATGTATAGGGAGGAATCTGCCAAGTTTTGCGCAAAATCTGAATCAGATGACCTCAACCCTTTATTTGATACTCTTATAAAAAGTAGATAGAGGATAAGGTAATGTAAGATTCATAAAGTTCAAAAAATGATAAAATAACTCTTCAACACTCATACACTATCATTGTGTTAATCATGTGACCATGTCCTTCCCAAACCTGAAATTGGTCCTAATTCATTTGTCAATTATATTCAGGTTGGTGTGTTTTAATATATATTGATTACTATGGAGTGCAAAAATTACTACTCTTAACATATTTTACATGTATTTTCAAAATTTAAGATCGACTTGAATTAAGTATTTTATTTCTATGCATTTGTTAGATTAATTTTTTTTTATTATCAGGATTTAGGTATTGTTTAACTAGAAGATAAATTTGTGGATCTTTATATGGAGTTCTACTCATTCAACTTCTAATAATTTGCTAGTACTAGGGCATATGATTTCGCCTTATTCTTCACTTCCATTCCTATTCGAACATCAGCTTAAATCACAGTACGTATAAAATGCCAAGTGTCATGTCAAGGGAAGAGTATAAGCATTTGAGGTTTTAAGCCATATGCTTTTGTGGTCCCCTAATACATCTGATCTTAGACGCTCTGGCCTGGCCTCAGTGGCCTGTCCTGTCCCTGGAAGGTCCAACTGAGGGCACCGAAAAATCTCAGTCAAGTGGGATCTATGCACAGTTTTTGTGGTCCATGCATGGCATGGTTTTGTTTATCCAATTGTCCTCGACTGCCTTCCCATGTTGAGAGAGATGATATTGTTTTTATAATTTATACGTGTGTAAGATACACCGATATTCAAATTATCAAAATTTAGTCGGACAAATCCATTTAATGAAAAGTTAGTAAACTAGATTGAGACTATCAAACTTTAGTCGTACAAATTCAGTCGTCTAACGTACGAATGCATTTGAATTTTTTCTAAAGAGATAATGCATGTAGCTAGCTAGATGATGGGTGCAACAAATGAAGAGTTAATGCAGTTGCATGATTTTAATTTAACGGAATTTAATTTGGTGTTTCCTCATAGGTAAGGTCTGTGTACTTCTTGTGCACAAACTAAACTTACTTAGCATATGCATAAAAGGTAAATATTGGCCACAAAAATTCCATTATGAAAATTAAACGGCCTTGTTTTTGTGTGAAACTATGGCAGTGTGAGTACCTGCTAATTAGTCTGTTATACCATGAATTGGATATCTTCGATCAACAGAAACCAAATTCTTCAGTCCCTCATGAGATAGATTTTAAAAAATAAAATGTTGAAAATTGTAGTGATGAAACTGACAATCGGTTCAGTGTTCATAATTGCTATATGTATGGTGTGCGGTGCTTTTCAATGTTATCGGTGACACTGTTCATATTGACATAAACAGTGTTCTGATTCATGATGGCTTATTGTTGACATTTAGGAATTCCATTCGATCATACAAATGATGTAATGGCTCAATAAATTAACGAAAAAAATCATTAACTTAGTGCACTTCAATTTCATCCTTCACATCATCATCATGTGTGAACATATCTATAAGAATTTCTCTAACATCTGCATTATTGGAATACATCAATTCTTTTAAAAGAAAAAGATAGATCTAAGATTCAATTCTCTCTGATTTGACATGATATTTGTAAGCAATATTGTAAAATTGATCCTGAATTCAAAAAATAATAATACAATGATCAGTAGTTGTCCACTCACTCTCACGTGTCAATCCATTATATTTTTTTAATGTTGTGGTTTAATTTTGATCCCAGGACCTTAAGTTAATTAGGAGAGACCCAAAAAATTGTTAAATTTGCATACAAAAGGAGCATTTGGGTTATGAAAAAATTTTAAAAATTTGTTATAGTTAGTTGCGAGGTTGAGGTTGGTTTGGTACCAACTCAATTATTGAAATCAAAGACACCTTTGAGTTTGACAGGCCTTGGTTAGGTTAAACCCTACCCAAGTAGAGAAAAAAGGTGGTGATCTTAACCATGGTTAGCAAGTTAGCATCAGAGAATCAAACTATAGTAACTGAACTGAAATAAAAAACGTCATAAACTAATATAATTGATATTATAACAGAAGGGTTGGATTTAGATGCTCGCAGATCCCCAGTACACCTCCTCGTATAACAAAATCGTTTTGACACATGGGAATACACATACCCACATGCACTGTAGAGATGGATAGATGGACAAGAGATCAGGAGGGTTCATGGCTAATTCTCTGATGCCAAATTTTCACCATAGAGCGATCCTTGGTTGAACTAATTGTGTATTTTTTAACCCATGACAAGCGTTTATCACACATTAACACCATTAGAACTAAAACTTGGATCAATGAGAAAATTTCTCCATTTCAAAGATATATAGATAAAACACAGTACACATATTATAATTTAAATATAAAAATAACATCGCGTTGCGATGTTGCATTTACGCCGAAAAATCTCTGAACAGAGACGGAATATAGTGTTTTGACCAAAAAAAAGAAAAAAAAAAAAAGAGACGGAATATAGTGCAGTAAGAAGGGAGCAGAGGAGGTGCGTGGTCATATCGTCATCTTTTTCATTTCTTTGCATATTAATTTCGTTTCCCAATGAGAGTGAGAGAGAGGGAGAGAGATGGCCAGCAGTTGTTTCCTTGGTTTTGGTCTGGTAAAAGCTTGGGAGTGAGCGTCATAAACCACTAAGATAAAAAGAGATAAAATGCAGTGTGTGGAAGAGAGAGAGAAGATACCTAAAACTCACACTGCTCTGCGTATTAATTTCATCAAATCAAATACAAAACTCTCTCTCTCTCTCTCTCTCTCTCTCTCTAGCGTTTATGCTTTCATGGATCCGCTTTTCTCGCTTTTTCATGATGATCAGTGATCACAGCATCCCCACAAGCTTTTCTTCTGCTATTTTTCCACTCCAAACTCTCACAAACCGTGACCAGTCCTAATCCTACTCTTTTCTCTGCAGCTCAGAAGTCCTCAACACACATACACACACTAGTACTACTGCTTCTGCTTCTAGCTTCTGTCATTTTCATATTTTCATTCCTGTTTTCCCATTGTTGGAGAAGCTCTAGCAATTGCTTTTCATCCATCCATAGACCTTCCACCATATCAATCCTTCTAGTTTCCGTTGAAAAGCCAAAAGCAGTTTTCTCCTTTTTTCTACTTGTTATGGGAATGAGGGAGTGGTATTGGGGCTCTGGAAAATCCTCCAAGAGAGGTAGAGGCAGTGGAGGACCACCAGACGAAGACATCACCACATCTTCTGGTTGCATGTGTGCCGTCTTTCAGTTGTTTGACTTCCACCAACTTCAGCTTGCCAACTTACACCACCACCAACAACCTTCTTTCGACCCAGAAGATCTCACAGTACCAAAAGGTCCTCGCTTTCTCTCTCTCTCTCAATGTTTTGTTTTAAATTTTTTATAATACAATTTTTTCGTAAAAGCGACGAGGTTAAGTGCCTTGCACCTGAACCTTAGAGGTGCGCAGGGGTGAATGCTCTTAATCAACCAAGCGTTTCGGATAAATGTGGATAACTTTAGTAGTGAATAATTAAGTTCAAATTGTGGAATTGATTCAGGTGTTGAAGCACCTAGAAATAGCTTGGATTCATCAGAAGGGACTTCACTGTCATCTATCACAAAAGAAGAAGAAAATTTAAACAGTCCAGTAAGTCGTTTTGTTACAATATTTCTTGTCACAAAAAATTATAATATCTATATATTTTTGTATCTAATTTGTTTCCCTTTTAGGGTTTTTCAAAAAGTAAGTCATGATGATAGTAATGATGGAATGGTCCCCCTCAAATTTGTGTGTTTGCAGATTTTGAAGTTCCAGAAAAGTATGCAGATCAAAATAACCAAAGCAAGAATTCCTTCAGTTGATTTTTCATCAGATATTAGCTCACCAGGCATGACAAAGACTCCAAGTTTGGTAGCAAGGCTAATGGGTCTTGACCTTCTTCCTGACCAAACAAACTCACCCTGTTCAACTTCAACATCCAGTACCACCGGTCATAAAAAAAATACAAAGTCCAGGAAACCACTCAAAGGTAGAGCAAGACGACATGCCGTGGACACGAGTGACATGAATGCTACAGCTGGAACTCGCTCACTGCCTGAGACTCCGAGAATATCATCAGCCAGAAGATCGGACGTCGATCTTCACCACCGGCTTTCGCTTCAAATCAACAAAGAAAATGTTGGGGTTTCTGAGGACTTGGATTTTTCCAAGTCATCGTACAAAAGGAGGGACTCAAAGCTGATTAATTTTGGAGACCATGAGAACGTGAAAAGCCCAAGTCACTACGCTAGGCAAATTGTGAAGCAGGTGAGGGAAAGTGTGAGTAGGAGAGTTGGTTTGGACATCACAAACACCCCCAGATCATCAGTCAACAGAGACAACAACAAGCAAGGCAGAGATGAGCTGCTTCTCCAACTCAAATCCAAGAACATTGCTAATGCTGCTTCAAAAAGTGCTTTCGCAAAGGAAGGAAGTAGTACTCCAGCTTCTTGTTCTCCCAGGCTCAGAGTCTTGGACTCCAACAGTCCCAAAGATCAAGCACTTCCTCCAAAACCCAAATCACCTCTATCGTCTTTACCTCTAAAGCCAAAGCCTTTGCAGCCTTTGAAAGAAGATCAGCAGCGGCAGAAGCCGAAAAGCCAGACTGCTTCAGTTCAGAAGCGTAGACCAAAATCAGCAGATGATATTGGATACGGTCCAAGGCTGAAGAATAAGCAGAAGGAAGAAGCATTCGTGAGTTCATCAACGGCTACAAGAGCCATCAGTAATAATCATATTATTCCAGGTGACAAGAATTGCAAGAAAACCCAATTATTATTGTCAAGCAATGTCCCTACCCTTCTTGTTGTCAAGAAAGATCCTTCACCTCCAGATACCAAAATCCCCTCAAAACAGGTATGTATGTCGGACCCATTACTACGTAGGGGTGTGCTATTCACACACCCCATTTTACTTCTCACACACCCTTGATATTTTTTGTCCGTTGATCTTCTTCGATTCATCCGATCCAATGGCCGAAAATCAAAAAGATGTGTGAGAAGTAAAATGAGGTGCGTGGATATCACACTTATTTCCCTTTTGTTTACCAGATCAACAGTCTAAACTATTCTATTGTCTGTGCAAGCGTTAATCACATTGTCCTGGCAAACCGACTTTCCTTTACTAGATGATAGTCTAAATTATCAGTTTGTCAAAATTAGTTTAACAGTGTGACTAACCCTGGCAAACTGACCTTTTTACCGAGTTATTCTAAAGCACGAGTTCAAGGGTTAGTCGCACAGTCATGCTACATATTCGTACTTGATTTTATTCTAGTAGTTTTAAAATCTAAAGATCATATCTGTACCGATTTTGCATATTATTCTTGGTAGCTAGAAGCATAGAAGTACTTTTTTGTGATTCCCTCTCTCAACTGATTAGAATATTATGTTTGCAATGCGTTACGCAAATAAAGCAGCAGGCACAACAAGTAAAATCTGAAGCCCAACAATCGAAACGTAGGTGGTCACAGTTATCTAGTTCCACGAGCCATACGTACTACAAACATCAACAAGTGACCCGGGTCCCCCACGTGCTCGCCACCCGACACTGCATCAACTTTACCGGCGACATCCCTAACGGTAACGCCGGCACCAACACCAGATCAACCACCGGCGCTGGTGGAGCAGAGGCAGAGCGGCACCTGTACGTCACAAGAATATTAGCCCGTACTGGCATCGATAAAGACACCCTAGTCTCCTTCACAAATTGGTTCTCTCCTTCCCATCCCCTCGACCCCTCCATTTTTTACCACCTCGAACGTTCTTACTCTACCGCTAGCGGTAAAAACGAGTTTTCGAGTTCGCTTGGTCATAGGTGGAACAGAAAACTACTGTTTCACCTTGTGGATGAAATTTTGGTGGAATTTTTGAGGCCTTATATCAACTTAAAGCCATGGGTTACGAGCTCAAATAATATTCTATTTGAATATTGCAATGGAATGCGTATCAATGGGTCACATTTGATCAACATTTTGTGCTACAAAATTCAGAGCTTCCCTTGTGCCGACTGCCAAGTTCTCGAAGACATCAACGCATTAATCGACAAGGACTTGCCGGAATCGAAGGTGCAGAGCGAAATGGAATTTGAGGAAGTAGCAGAAGGGATTGTTAAGGAGGTAGAGAAGGACATTTTGGACACTCTCATACATGAAACGGCTATGTCCCTATGGTTTTGAGTTTTACAATTTACAAGCTCAAGATTTTACGTCCAGAACCGGGACGTAGTATTATAATGGTGGGTGCATGTAGATGCAGGGTCAGAGGAGAGGACTGGGGTCACAAGGGTGGATCACGTGATAAGATGCTATCGGCCCGGGGGAATAGTTTAGTTGGGGGGGGGGGGGGTTGTGGGGGTCGTGGCAGATTGGGAGCTGTAAAAAGGTTGGGGGGGGGGGGGGGGTTGTTGGGGTGGGGGGGGGGGGGGGGTGTGGTGTGGTGGGGGGGTGTGGGGGAGGGTTTTTGACAGCCCGACAACCGTGGCAGACGACCCTCGGAGGTATCTATTCCCTTCTCTCCAACCCCTTTATAATTTGTAAATATGCTTTCTTTTACTTTCAAATTTTTTGTAATATAGTTACAAATTATAAGCACATCTTGTTTTTTCTGGTACGGATTCTTAATATCTACATATATGGTGTATTCACTGTTTTATTAGTATTAATTGCAGATTAATAATGAAGCTTAGCTACATGTAACTTTTCTGTATTGAAATAACTGAAGTTTTTATGTTTTTAATTTAGTTTTTACACAGTTATCAATAGGGTAAGGTACAGTACTTTGTATATTGATTTGTCAATTTGTTTATATTTGGGATTGCAAAGGGTATACGCCAGGAGAATCTACAAAGGATTTGGTTCTTAAATCATGGGGGTTTGAACTTGTAAGTTAATTAATATGTCAACCAATAAACCAAAACCGCAATTTTTAAATAAACACCCCTAATTTTATGGTCTTCACTTTTAACTAATGTCTATCTAACACAACTCTGAAACTTAATCATGATCGCATAGATCAAATAGTGTACGATTATTTTGGTTCGACGACACTCAAACTCTATTTTACCAAAAGAGATGACACTTCTGTACTAAAGGAGGTTTTTTAGAGCAAATTAGAGAGAGAGTATCCTCGTCAGATATTTTTTGTGAGGATCTTGGAAATCTTCGAATCACATCCGTTCATCGTACATACATTGTGCGGTCAGTTTTTGTCAGGTACTGTTTATATTCAATTTTAAATTAAAAAAATTACAATAATTTCTGACTGCACGATGTACGATAAACGGATGTGATTAAATGATCTCCAGGATCCTCAAAAAGAGGATCCGACGAGAATCCTCCTGGCAAATTATAAACCAGAGTTGCTGAATAAAAGGAGTACCATGATATGAACTTTAGGGAAGAATATGTTCTAAATTCCTCAACTATACAAAGTGCATCTGTAAATATTTCAAAGATAGTGTTTCAATTATGCACACAATGCAACCAAACTCTTATCCATATATGAACTCACTATAACTAATTGGTATCAAACTCGTCATCTACTTAAGTCGAACGTAATATCTTTAAGGTAGAGAAATTAATATCACCAAACTTTATCAACCACACGGTCAATCCAATTGATGAGTTTATATATATAGTTGCCATTTAATGTTTCCAATTATAATCTTACATACCTATAGATCTCATAACATAACATAACATAGCATGGCAGTGAGCTAAACATTCCACAAATATGTAGAAAAAACTGAGCGGGAAATTCAAATCAAATGCAATGTCACTGACATAATATGTATATTGTCATGCATGTGGGTTGGTGCATATATATAGGGTTTAATTATTGGTCCTGATGATGCAGATAAATAGGGCTGGAGATCTGTGAGGGTTTGACTGCATCCAATTAAATGATGTTTGAACTGTTTGGGGAAAGACTTGAAGCTTATGGATCTGTATTTTTCTACCCTACTGTGTGGAAATAATCATATAAAGTTTATCAAAACTTTCGTACCTCTGAAAAAAATTTACCCTTAAATTAGATAGCGATAGAGAAAGTAAATTAAATGTCTCATACAAACGTGCTACTTGTTCATACCTAACGTTACGTTTTCGTGTAAATACGATTTACTCCACTAGATCATGACAGCTACCGAAATGACAAAAACATCATGCATGAATGTGATTTCCATGTGAATTGTGCACCATATCTAATCGAAGAAAGTTAAAAAATTTCTATAAAACCAATTAACAATATAGAATGTCACAAATTACTTCCATCCAAGAAGGGTCGTCGATAACTTCTATTTAAGCAGTTTATGTACTTGAGGACACGAACAATTTGACTAATCATGCTTTGGCCACGACATTTGCTCATTTAAATGCTACTACCATCACCAAAGAGGGTCGTCGATAACTTCTATTCAAGCAGTTTATGTACCTGCGGATGCGAACAATTTGACTAATCCTGCTCTGGCCAGGACATTTGCTCATTTAAATACTATACCATACTAACTCAACTTCTTATAAGCTCTTGCAAAGTTTGTTCGTTTTTTCGATTTGAAACTTTGCCTTTCGAATCCTCACATTAACTCTCTTGACGTCACAAATAATAAGAGAGTGCTGATGGGAATTGAGAACCCAATGATGGTGACTTGAGTTGCGGGCGTATTTAAGGAGGTGTGGCCTAACTTCCAGAAATTCTTAATGCAAAAATTAAATGGAAACTTTGATGACATACACCACAGGGGCTTGACCGTATCTTCTTCCTTGCAGCAAGTCTTTGGACGTTATGTTGCAGCTGTATACGAAGTCGGGCTCTGGTGGCCCGCGACTGTGTAATACGGCCAAGGCATTAGGACAGGCTATGAGCCCAGGATATATTATTCTGTCTTAATCTAGATCTGCACAAACCACTCTGCAACTGGGAGCAATGGTCCTTGTAGTTTGAAGCAAATATTCGGTCGGCTTGTTATGCCGCACCAAGTAAGATTACGCGTGGTTTGGTACAATTAATCATATATTTTTGTGCGAAGTGTCCCACAAATAACGTGGCTTGGGCACCTTTACACAAGTTTTTCTTATAGTTTTGTTGATAAGTTAGATTAATCTCAATCAGAATAAAGTATAGTTTCAAAGTTCTTTACCCCCATTTGTTAGAGAAAAATGTCTAAAATGACTCTATTAAACGAGTACACTCGTAATTAAACTCTTTCGATCTAAGTTTCACAGACGCATATATTTAACCCTTTAGGCAAGTGAAAAGACTTAAATACCCTAATCGATTGACTGATCGTTTATATTGTAAGGGTTGAATGAGTGGCCAAATGTAAGGGCATTTTCGTCTGGAAAATGGGCAAGCGGTTAGAAAATAGAACCTTCTTTAACCCATTGCGTTCAGAGTCTAAATCCCTCCCCTCTTTTTAGTCTAGCACGGAAACACCTTGGGATATTTCAAAGTTATTTTGCAAAAGATTATCACAAATCAGGGCAATTACAGATGTTTCTTCGCTATTTCAATGTGGTCTCCGGCAATTATTTCTTCAGTGATTTGAATCTTTTCTTAGTTCTACACTGAGTTAATCACCCACAGTTTCCACATGAATAACGTTAATATTCACGTTACATAATTTTGATAACAACGAAAACAAACGTCTAAATTCTTGATTCTTGCTTGATATCGGTAAAATACAGGGGCGTGAAGAAGCAAAGAGAAGTCAGAAAGGTCGGCTTGCATTTTCTCATATCAAATGCTAGAGACAATTAAGAAACACAGGGGAAGAAAGATGGACGAAAGAATATATCCAAGATCTTTCGGCACAGAGAAAAATCAGAATAACAACCCTAAGCATCGAACCCAGCCCCTGTCCAGCCGGGCGGAGGAGGTCCCCTACCCTTGGGCACAGCTCCAAGTCCCTTCCCTCTTCCGTGGAACTGACTTTTCTTCTTTCCTCTTCCTTCTCCCTCAACAGGTGGCTGTTGATTGTGCCCATTCGTGACCGAAACATTTCCAGCATTTCCTGGATTAGAGGTGTTTTGAGTGACTCCACCTGATTCTGTTGATCCCGGAACTGTAGGAGCATCTGGACCCATTGATTTGCCATCCTAAACACAGTTCCAAGCTCAAATGATTATAATATATACATGTATAAGATAATCGATAAGTATGAATAGCCACTGCCATGTAATAGTTAATGAAAAGAAGCGGCTTCATTTTGCTCCTATTGGATCAGACAATAACCCCCACTTTTGCCCTCTCCCATGACCACCCCTGGGGGCCAACCTCTTCTCCTTTCCGTAGATAAGTCTTAAATTCTTACCATTTGAGAGCCAGAACCCCCAGTGCTAGATGTGTGGATGTTTTTCAAGATTAATCTAGCTATATGGAGTAAAATCTTAATCTAATTCATCAGTGCTTCTTTCTATGTGCCTGTTTTGTGAGTCGATTTTGGGGGATGGCAGCCAGTCACCCTTGCTCATATTCACTAAAACTGACAGTTAGATAACCTATTTTCTTTCTTTATTAGCTTCTTTTCTAAGATTACCTAGGACTTCACAGAGATAGTGGAGGTCAAATAAAGTTCCAAGATTGTATACGCAGAAAAAAGAGAGAATGCAGGGATAGGAAGAGGAACCATAGTACCACCGGAAGAAGGAAGAAGGAACAGGCAAGGAACAGGTGTGGGAACATCTACTGACAAACCATTTCAAGGCATGAGAGTGGAAGTAATGATTCTATTCTAATCTAAGTACAAACTTCCAACAAATATTCTAGATTCCTACGTGGTATCCATCAATATATTCCTGCACTGCATAGTGCATACAGAAAATGCAACTTGTGTGAACAACTGAAGCAACACAACTTCTTGGAAAGTTAACGAGGGAGAAAAAAAGAACCATGCAACCTCCAAATCGTAATGAAACATAACCTTTTCTTATAAACAGGTCTGATGCAACACTACCTTGAATACTTATGAATTACACACACACACACACATGAGGACCATGAATAAACTGTGGTATAATTGTTGATTTTCAAAAACAATGAAATCTACACCAACTAATAACAAAGACTGCAATGCCATCCAACCTGTACATGATGTTATAAAATATAATCGTCATATATATATAAAGAGAACTTACATGAGAAACAGAAGCTGATGATCTGCTTGGGTTCATAGCTTCAAGTCGTCTTTTTAACTCCTCCAGTCTCGTAAACTGAGAACTGCTGCTTTCTTGCACCTTTTGAAACAACAGTGTCAAAACAATTTGTCAAGTCTGTAACCTAAAGGACACGTGTAACGAAGATATATACCAGTTGGTTTAAGTCTTCACAAAGCTGCTGCTTGATAGCTTCCTCGTCCTTTACAGCCTGTAATGCTGCTTCCCACACCTGATATACATCAAAACAAACAGCTATCAGACTGCATAACAAACAGCATTCATGCATTAATTAAATTTTAAACTAATTTTACACAACCATATTCGGCTGTGTACACATCAATCTCTATCCATTTTTGCAATGAATCTTAATTCATGTGTCTTCATCCCTCTGATAAAATGTGTTTGGTAGGTCTAACTATCTAACAAGCTTACTTTTTAACTTGAAACTCCACCACATCACCAAATACAATCATATGCTTTCCAAAAATTAGACAAAACCAGACCAAATTTATTCAAAAACTTCAATTTTAAATATCCAAGGTCATCTTGGTCAAGCAGAATGAGCATGTTACTAATTTTCGTGAGCACTTGGGTAAACAGGCAGAAAAGTTTTGTTGAATACTGATGAAAGTCAAACAGAGCATTACAAAGTAAGGATAAAGAAAAGCTGTTTCTATAATTAAAAGGGATGAACCTTTCGAGCTTGTTCTTCCTTCAGCTTGGCAGCGTGAATTTTCTCCGTTGACATCTCTATTTTCTTCCTCAAATGTTCAAGAGCTTCAAAAGATACAACATACACACAAAGTAAAAGGCAAAAAAGCAATCAATTAACTGTTATACAAAAGAAGAGGAAAACTAATAAAATCAAAGAATGAGAGTAACTAACAATGATAATGCAGCAACCTGATTTTTTTGGCCCAGCTGTGAGTTTCATCTCCATTGACAACTGTGCCAGCTCTCGTTCGACATCACGAATTTTAGAATAGTTTTCTTCAATATATCTGAAGGGATCAACAGTCTGAAATCATATATCATCGAATCTTACTGAACATGGATAATTACACTAACGCAATGTTCCATTGAAACAAATTTGAGAAACATAAAGGGACAAAAGGATAAAAGAAGACAGAATCCAAGACTTAACTTTATCCTGAAGCTCCCCCACTGTACATTGCCATTTTCAAGACTCAAAAACAGGTGAACCCCAGGTCCCCAAGACAAAGGTAATCAAGGAACGCTTCCAATTTTCAAATAGTTCGTTGGCTTCCTAGTTCCTACACCTCTTGACCACAACTTGTAAAACCCTCGAATCGATTACCAAATACTTTCACATTGCCATCTATATTTTCCTTAACTTCCAGATTAAACCTAAACTACTCAGATTTCTCGGATGCCTAGTTCATCAAACAATTTGCATTTCTTTTTTTATTATTGAAACAATTTGCATTTCTAAACAAACCAATTAAAGCATCAGTCAATCACTAAACTCAAAATTCAATGATCATTTGACTCATCTCACGGATTAAAGCAACCATAATTCACGACATTACTACTTAAACACACAATTTAAGCAATAATAATTCCCTAAAACGATCCATATACATTACAATGGAATCAAAGATACTTACTTTCTTAATTGAAGCTGTTCGTTCTCGATTATCTGCAAAAAACCACAACCAACACACATTCAATTCAACAAATTACCAACAAATTTAGAGAGAGAGAGAGAGAGAGAGAGAGAGAGAGAGGAAGGAGAGAGAGAGACCTTCTCAGTGTAGGTAATGACAGAAGCCTCCCGAGCAAGGCCGTCGGGTCCGATCTCAGGCTGCAGCGACGGATTCGAATTCGAATTCGACGCCGCCATTTTTAACTCTTTTTTTTTTTTTTTTTTCAATTTTTCAACTGGAATTTGAATCAGAAGAGCAACCCCAAGCCAAAGCAAATGGCTTCTGATTCAAACTCTCATTTTCCTCTTCCTTTTCTCTTCAAACAAACGTGATTATCCTTTTTTAATTTGTTTAATTACTGTTGATTAATTAATACAGGGGGCTTGCCATTATTCGGGTTCGGGTCCGTTTCGACGTGCGGGTCACCGTTCCCGCGAGATTATTATAATGACTAGAATGCCCTTGTGATCTGGATCCGCGTCGTCATTTGTGGCTCGTTGGATCTCGCGTGCTGTTGCCGACACCACATGCGTTATCTTGGCGGTAAAAAAGCCCACCAACTGATTTGCGTACAACTAACACTAATAGAAAATGTTAATTTTGCATTTGAATTTTAATGAACTTCACTACAAAAGAGTTTAAATTCGAATTTTTTAACATAAAAGTTATTTTTCAATTATCTTATTATTGTTGGGACTATTAATCTAATTTAACTTAAAAATAGAAAAATGTTATTCACAAACTAATTTTTATCTTCTACACACGCTTTTTACTTGTTCTTAATAAGTTTTCGGTCAAGTAGGTTGCACTAACTTTTTACTCGGATTTCCACCTTCGTTCTTGTAGTTTCATTGCGCCATCAACGTTCCAACAACTTGGCTAACGTAGACTAAAGTGAAAAGACAAAGAAGAAAGTGAAATCTCTAGTAAACTGCAAGTGGCCCTCTAATACAACGGTAAAGAAGAGTGTAGCCCTTGCACCACAACATAAGTTCAAACCCCCCCCCCCCCAAACTCTCTAATATAACACCTAACATAACAAATTTATTGTTTGACCAAAAAAAAAAATTTCTCGAGTAAGCTACACAGTTTATTAATGCAATTTGTCCGAAAACGCATGTAAGATGAAACAACTCGAGTCATCCAACTACGACAAAAGTGAAGCAAAGTATTATGGTTAAAAGCATTTACCCTTGCACCGAAGAGTGAGGACTTTCCGGCATCCCGATACAAAAAAGAGAGGAGAAAAATTGTATGCCACAGAAGGTTCATTCAGAAATGCTATGATGCTCACACTTTGGACTTGAAATTTTTTATTGGCAGTGGTTTACATTGTAACCACCAGTGTACGCTGTACCAGAGGTACCTCCGAGTTAAATCGAAGGGTAGGGTCGAATCGAAAATTTATACGGAGGTCTCCAGGAGCAAAAAGCTCAATGATATCTCAGCAAACAAACTCAAATTACACTAAGATTGATACATGGATTCCGACCATTGCCGTCTACTTTTTATCAGCAGCCTGCTTTAAGCACTGGAGCACGGCTTCTCTTGTCGGCATTGCAGGAATGGCTCCTCTTTCTGTTACTGTGAGCGCACCGCATGCATTCGCAAAGAGTAGAGCTTCTCGCAACCCCTTCTCGTCCTGCAGGTAAGATTTTTATATACTGCCGAGTTCCAAAGGAGATGATACAAACTGAAAGCATACAAAGATTCTACACTACATACAGAATTTATGGTCTTCGGAACAGAACATTTAAAGTACGAGGACCAAGTCACATTCGAATTGAAGTGTATGAAAATATTCTATAGGGAGATTTATGGATGATTTTTCTCAATTCCGTGAAGAACTATGCGTACCTGAAAAAGACTCAAGTTAGAAGCTATGCTGTTGAGTACCCCACCAACGAATGCATCACCAGCACCAGTTGTGTCAACAGGTTTAACTTTAACACCACCAACCCGGCCATGGAATTTCTGAGAGTATTTGGAGTGACATCAATTTTCATATTACCAATCTTTATGAAACCGAATAAAGTGGAAGACAAAAGGCAAATCACATTCCGAGTGTCCAACAATTATTTTCCTCAACAAAAATATGCGTCTTTATTCAAGGATATTTTTTAGTCAACAGCCTCTTGAACAATAATAATAACAATACGATGACAAAAAATTTCGTCTTCACAATAGCAGGGACTATCTCAAAAGGACTCATTGAAGTCGAGAAGTGACAACATGATTAAGTGAGTTCTTTACCACGAGAGACAAAAGATACTGAACACAGAAAGATCAAATATATTTGACAAACTTACCTGTGTGTAATATCTGCAACCCTCTGATCCTTCAGTTACTACCAAAAGTCTAAGATTAGGATGAAAAAGCTTCGTTAACACCACATTATCATCATAAGGATCATCACCACCTGTCAGGAATCTAATCTCATCCTCACTTATCTGCAAGTTTGAGGAAACACCAGATGAGAACCAAGGATAAAGATACAAACAGCAGATTTGCACCTAAGCAACAGTTACCGACTTCCGCAATTTTGTTTATTCAGGTACCATACCTTGATAATATCTGCTTGGTCCCATATACTCATTATGCCTTTCCGTGCGGCATCTTCTGATGGCCACAATGGCAATCTTAAATTTGGATCATAAGAAAGGATGCAACCAGACTTCTTGGCAATTTTCATTGCAGCAATATGGGTTGACCTGCTCGGTTCATCAATCAAACTAATTGAACCATAATGGAAAATTTTTGCCTGCAGATGATATTGTTTGAATCAGTAAATTTCCGACAAATGGGTAAGCTTCATATATTCGATGCACTGTTTCCAAATCCTAATCAAAATGAAAAGAAAAGCACACCCTCTTAATAAGATTTATGTCAAGCTCTGATTCATGTAGAAGCATATCAGCACTTGGATGACGGAAAAAAAGGAATTCACGCTCTCCGTCAGCTCTGAGTGTAACAAATGCCAATGCAGTTCTTGCACTGGGGTCAAATCGCACGCCAGAATTGTCAACGTTGTTTTGTTTTAAAATGTCAGCCAACATGTATCCAAATTCATCATCACCTACCTGTAATGCAAGTTGTTATAAGTTAAATCAAGGAGCCACTCACATTCGAATATCCTTATCAGATTTGAGAAAAAGGTTAGTCCGAAATATATATTAAAACTAAAAAGGAGCTCGACTGCAGAGATTGGATGTAAAGGAGGTCCACTGAAACTGAGAGAAAACATCGTTCGAATACATGTCTGGAGATTGTGAAATGGGTTAAATACACAATATGAGAAAGATACATATTTGAATCATGCCATGCTCAACAAAGTCAATATGGAGTTGAACCGTTGGGGGGTTTCAGTAAAAAGGTTGAAAGCGTCTTTCTATGTTTCATTATTCTTACACGTGTGGAACAAAATGTTATTAGAGAAATCCTTCTTCTTAACAGAAATCCCAGAAAGAAAGGCAAAAGCCAAGGGGAGAAATTAATACCAGCATCCACAGAATCTAATGTACCTTGCCTATGAAACCTGCTGAACCACCCAGTCTTGCGATTCCAACAGCGACATTAGCAGGAGCACCACCAGGAGCTTTCTTAAAAGCAGGTGCTTCAGCAAGTGAAACTCCACCAACGGTGGGCACAAAGTCAATTAGCATTTCCCCAAAGCAAACAACCAGGGACTTGTCATCTTGTGACCCTCCTTTTTTATCTGAGGATGCGTCTTTAGAATCTTCACGCAAAACCAATTTTTTGTCCAGAGCTGCAGTCACATCATTTAAGCAGTATTAATGAAATTGCAAAGAAGTTCAACAAGCTTTATCTACGCCTCGATGTTACATATGTAATAGTCGGCCATGGACATACGTTTAACGTTAATTAATATGAAAACTTTCTCATCATCTATGCAATTAATAAAACAATACAGTAAGCTAAAAATCACACAGTTGCTCCAACTGGGACTATGTTAGAATTAATTCACCTTCTTTTATCCAATTTTGGTACTAAATCTAAAATTACAGATTAACCGACTCGGAAACTCGAAACTGCATGTTTAGTAAACAAAAATTGTTCATCTTTACAAAGCATCTGTTACCCGACTACCACACACATGTGCACAGTGCAGTGTAAATCGTAACACACAGTGCATCTATACGAAGCAAGAAACAATATTTCGAATACAATAAGATGCCGAATCACATACTAGAAAGCATATACACCCATAACATGATTTTTTTTTTAAAGAAGTGAATTTTTAAGAGAGATTCACAAGTGGGTAAGCTATGTAAGAGACATTTGATCAAACACGTAAAGAAAAAGATTGATTGCTGCGAAAGATAGATCAAAAATACAGAAACCCAATACAAAGAAATGCCCGAGAATTCAGAAATCATCAATCTTTTCTGCAAATCAACGATCTTTCAGCTAACACAAGTAACTCGAAGAACCCAGATGTGAAATCTCCCAATATAATAATAATGGATTGAAATCCCAATTTTAATCAGGACGTCCGTATACGATCAGAAGCATCGTATATAATCAAAAGACGGAAGGAGGACTTAACGAACCTGGGGCGAGATTATTAGCCATCGCCGGAATGGAATTGCAGAGATTGAAGTTTAATGAGAGAGCAGAGTATGCAAGAAGAAATGGAGAGAGAGAGAGAGAGAGAGAGAGAGAGAGAGAGAGAAGGTTCGGTGTTGGTGCAGTGTTGTTGTAGGCTTGTTAATAAAGGAGAGGAAGGAACGAAAAAAGAAGGGAAGGAGAGGGAGTAAATTTGCGATTGAGTCGGCTGAGACTCCAAATCAAAAGCTGTTTAAAAGAAAGAAAGCAAACAAGCCATATGATAATTTGTCGGAATTTTTATGGGGCGATGTTATTCACATGTCTGTTTTTATTTTTTATATATATTTTTTCGTTTTCTATCGTTGAATCGATTAATTAAAAATAATCACAAGGCAAAAATAACATGGATGTATGAAAAATAGAAATAAGGATGTGAATAGCATCTATTTTTATAATAATTCATATCACATCCTCAACTTATTCTTACCTGTTTTGGCTAAAATCTTGTCTACCTTTTTTGTATAATTATATTAATCACGCGTATATTCAATTCACGTGTTAAATATAAGAACCAGTTGATATTTTATAACTTTATAATAAGCTGAGTCTTCCCGACCCTTGGAAATGGTGGATAACCGTGGCTTGCCACCAGTTGTCCTCCTTTTTCAAAAAAAAAAAAATCTATGTTACATTTTAGTATCACTACATATCAACTCATGCATTAGCTGATTAAAATGTATATTACTTTCTCACCTTTAGAGTTTTTTTATATTATCAATCTTGTAATT